GAGTGGACATACTCAGGAGCTGCCAGATTTGAAAACGAGATGTAGTTGCCTACATTCTAGACCAGGGGGGGCAAACTTTTTGACTCGAGGGCCACAATGGCTTCTTAAACTGGACCGGAGGGCCGGAACAAAAGCATGGATGGAGTGTTTGTGTGAATTAATATAAATTCAAAGTAAACATCATTGCATAAACGGGGAGGGTCTTTTTTTTTTTTTTTTAGTTTTATTCATTTCAAACGGGCTGGATCTGGCCCGAAGGTCGTAGTTTGCCCACGGCTGTTCTAGACATTTCATAAAACTTAGAGAAAAAAAGTTAAAAATCAATACAAACTAGAAACCAAACCACCCCGGCAGCCAGTTCCTCTGGGGTCAGCAGGCCCTGCGAAGGGTTTACCCCTCACGGTAAGGCTGGAACTGGCCATGTTCTAACTTGTTTGGAAGAAGTGACTGTGCCATGCCGCACACTGGGCCGCGTGTGGGAAGGCCCAGGACCATCAGCAGAGGAAGCTCACAGCTGATGGTGAGAGACAGACACAAGGAGCTGTCAGAGCACCGAGGAGGGAGGGCTGGCTCTACTGGGAGCAGGTGGAGAGCAGCAAAGCGTCCTCAGGAGAGATGAAACTTAACCAGGGTTTGGAAGTACAAGAGGAGGGAGAGGCGCGTGCAAGGTGGGAGGGCAAGTTCTTGGAGTTCTGGGCCAGCCTCGAAAGAACGGAGGCGGGATTTCCGGGAAGTGTGGGATGTGATTGGAGCCCAGCAGAGACCAGGTGTGGGGTGTACCTTGGGGAGTTCCCTGGGGCCTGGGAGAGCTGGAGGCCTGGATTGGGGCGGGGGGATTGGCATCTCAGAGGGAGCGAGTACATGGAGGTGACAAGCAGGAAATCTCGCAGTCATTACGCTTAGCGGGTGAGGAGAGGAACAGGAGCCCAGCTGGAGGCAGAGAAACAAGAGTCCCAAGCAGGGAAGAGTGCCAGGTAAGCTCATCAAGGGGGGAGCCTGTCTGTTGGCCTGGGGTTTTGTGCTGAGGAGCTGCTGCTGACCCTGAGAGCAGCTGAGTGTGACACAGCGGCAAGTGGGGGAGGGGGACAAAGTTGCAATCTTTTAGAACAATGACAGCAAAGGAAAGGAAAGAGCAGGTGGGAGAGGGTTAAAAGGAACGTCCAGTAGGGAAATCAGTGGTACCATGGAAGGCAGAAGGCGGAAGTGAAGGAGCACAGGTGGGAGGCAGGTGGGGAGAATGAAGGCCGATCCTGAGGTGGCGGAAAGGAGACTGGAGAGAATGTGTACTTGCTGGTCACTGTCTTCTTGTACAGGCCAACCCAAGGTCATGGTGTCCAAGGGGGTGGGAAGGCACACCAGTGTTTCACAATCAGGTGTGACATTTTTTTACAAGGAGGTCATGTAATCTGTGAATGATTTTCCTTGTAAAAAAGACATTAGATAAAATAAAGCTGTGGTACATTTATACGATGGAATGCTATGCAGCTGTAAAAAAGAAGGATCTCTTACCCTTTGAAGACAGCATGGAGGGACGTGGAGAGTATTATGCTAAGTGAAATAAGGCAGTCAGAGAAAGTCAAGTATCACATGATCTCACTGATATGTGGGATCTGATGAACAAAATAAACTTGACAAATACAGTATACTTATACTAGAGGCCTGGTGCATGACATTCATGCACTCGAGGGGGGGAGGTCCCTCAGTTTGGCCTGTGCCCTCTCGCAGTCAAGGACCTCTTGGGGGGATGTTCAACTGCTGACTTAGGCCCACTCCCGCCACTTCCACTGTGCTTACCAGTCGTGAGCCCAGCTTCTGGCTGAGCAGTGCTCCCCCTGTGGGAGTGCACTGACCACTAGGGGGCAGCTCCTGCATTGAGCGTCTGCCCCCTAGTGGTCAGTTCATGTCATAGCAACCAGTCGTTCCTCTGTTTGGTCTATTTGCATATTAGGGTTTTATTATATAGGATATGCATAGCTCATGGACACAGATAATAGTGTGGTGAAGGCCTGGGAGGAGTGGGGGCAAGATGGAAGAGGTCAATGGGGGGAAAAAAAGGACATCTGTAATACTTTCAACAACAAAGGTAAATTTAAAAAATACATTAGAGCAGACTCAGGGTTATCCTTACAGTTAAGTTCCAAATACTTTCTTTTATTATAAAATACACATAACACCAACTTTACCATTTTTAAGTGTACTCAGTGGTATTAAGTACACTCTCAATGTTTTCACCACCATCCATCTCTAGGACTTTTCTATCTTCCCAACGTGAAACTCCATGCCCATCAAACCCCTACTCCCCATTCCTCCAGGCCCCAGCAACCACCTTTCTACTTTTTATTTCCATGAATTTGACCACTGACTACTATTAGTAGAATCATACAGTATTTGTCCTTTTGTCCTGTGAAAATCATTCACAAATTAGACAATCTCCTTATAAAAAATGTCACACCTGCTTGTGTAACACTGATGTGCCTTCCCACCCCCTTGGACACCGTGGCCTTGGGTGGACCTGTCCTTTCGTGTTTTGTGTCTGGCTCTTTTCTTAGCATGCTCTGAAACTTAGCATAAGGTCTTCAAGTTTCATCCACGTTGTCACACGTGTCAGAATGTCTTTTTTAAGGCCGAGTAATATTCCATTGTCTGTGCATACACATTTTGTTGATCTGTTGATTGTTGATGGACACTTGGGTAGTTTCCACCTTTTGGAGATTGTGAATAATGCTGCTGTGGACATGGTCGTACAAATATCTTTTGAATCCTAGTGCTTTTCTGAGTGGGAAATAAAGGGTTGCACTTAAAGCTAGAGATTCAGGAATTGTGCATAACCTTCAGTCTGGTCTAGGCTGCAAGCAGAGAACCTTAGCAGTGTGGAAATTATGAGATTATTGCTTCATCAACTCCTTCACTGGTTTACACGCAAACTAGTTGTCTACTCTGTTTACTAAGACCAAGGGAAAG